CCTCCTGCCATGCTGGTGTGGTGGTCCCCAGGTTGTCGACGAAGATGATGGGTCTTAGTCGACTTTGGGTTCTGAGCCCGTTGTTTCCTCGCCACTCTCAGAATCTTATGTACCGCAGTCTGAATCGGTGTCAATAATCAGCTGCTTCTCAATTTCGGCTTCTTCCAAGTGAAATGAGACCATGCTGGCTAGTTTAAATTGCTATGTTTTATTCACAACACAACGCGCTGGGCTAGAACATTCTGGTAGTGCAGGGCTATGCTGAGAACAGTACCTCTGTGTGGCTAGTTCGATATATGCACAGTCAGGGTTTCTGAAGGATAATTCTAATCACATCACTTATAAAACATCGCAATTTCAACTGTCCACCATGGCCCCATTTTGCATGGAAGAAGCCGATATTGAGATGCCGCTCATAAACGATTCAGAATGCATTACAGATGAGACTGAAAGGTATTGCGGAGCTATTCCAAGAACCGTACCTCTGTGTGTTTAGTCCGAGATGTAAACAGAATCATAACGCTTATAAAACATCGCAATTTGAACTATCCACCATGGCCCCATTTTGCATGGAAGAAGACGAAATTCAGAGGCCGCTCATAAATCACACCGATTCAGAATGCAGTACAGACGAAACTGAAAGGCATTGTGGGGCTATTCCAAGAAGAGTACCTCTGTGTTGCTAGCCCGAGATATAAACAAGACTTGCGCCCTCTCGTCCAATGATAGAAAGGTTACAACGTGACTGGAGGATGTCAGCAGCATGCATTTATACTGCAGAAACGTTTTGTGCAGAAACTTTCTGCATATTTGTGGACAGACACTCAAAATTGGGAAAAAAATTTTTTGGAATCAGTGTAACAATTTTTACAGATTCTAAAATCTGTAAATTACAATATCTGATTCTATATTCTTTCTAGATAAAAGCAGCATTTATTTCGTTCGTTTATCACAAAAATTGTAGAAATCACAGCATTTTGAGTAACATGATTACAATTTTTATTACTCTACAATGGCAGGCATTTAAATTAACTGGCCCGCTACCACTACCGGAATTTAAATGTCCCGTCCCTTAAAGGTTAATATAGTTTTCTGTAGATATTCATATTTGAATGTTAATCAAATGCAAACAGGATGACACTTGAATAAGTTCCCACTTTTGGGTTTTCTCAAGTGTAGTTATGTGTTGGCATTATCACATTGTGGTGACATCTCGTATTAATCCACCGTGGGTGAAGAAGGATGTGGGTATTCTGGAGCACAAAGAAAAGAACAGCGAAAAAGCTCAGTTGTATCTGAAGTGACATTCATATACAGTTTTCAGGTGTACACATTAATACTTCTTTGAGCTTTAGGACTGTTAATGGTTGTAAACAAAGAGAAGGCACAAACTTGCCTTTTCTACCTCAGCTATTGAATGCAGCCTTTTTGCACTGGATCTGTGGTTTTATTTATGTGGTTAACATGGATAATTCTTTCATTTATGTTATGATTTCAGCACCACTATGTATTGTTATTGATTACAATGATGCTTTGTTTGTTTCATTTGATACTTGTAATTTGAAGGAGTCTACTATAAGGATTATAGAGGCACCTAAAAGAATTCAGAAATGCTTGTTTATAGTGTTTTACAGATTTTTGGTAGAATAGGATTCTGGTCACTAAAGGTATGACATGTTTTTGGCAATAGTTGTTCAGGAAGCTTATATTCATTTTTATGTTTCATATGTCATAATTCACCTTGCCACATTATGGACTGATGTGCATCTGAATAGAAAATATTTAGTTATGTCAAAACTGTTTACTACATGTTTGTGTTCCATATGTAATTTTATTGTTTTGTTGTTCTTCTATTATCACCCTACCTCTGCATTTACTGTGACTCAATGAATCACACATTTTGGAACTCATGTCACAGCTGGATGTGCCAGTGCTTAGCATGTTCCTCAAAAAAATGGGTGTGTATCTACCAAACTATATGGCATCATTTCATAGAAGGCCATAATCTCATCTGCCGGAGAACCTCAGATCTCGCATGTAATTTATAGCAGGGATGTGTGGTTTGAATTTCAAAACATATGCAGATTTTGGTGAAAGCACCTTTATTGTTCAGCTTGTGAAAATGTACATACGAAGAAACATAATTTGACCCTTGGATCTGGTGGATTTCTCATTTTTATTGCTAGAATGAAGTGTGGCTGAAGTTATTTTATATCCTGGGCATGCAGTAACATAGTGGTTGAGGCACAGTGCTACAAGCCAGAAGATCGTGCGTTAAATTTCTGATGAGGTCACTAGATTTTTTAATTCTGCTAATCCTTCCAGTCGTGCTATTGCCCTGGCGTCCACTCAGCCTCTGAGTGCCAGGAATCTTCCTGGGGGTAAACGATGGCTGACACATAAGGCTGACACCCTCTGTGAGCTGATTGTCTAGAAAATGTTGGAGCCTCAATGTCTCACAACCCTGTGGGCCTCCATAGGGAGTTACAGGGATAGCTTTACTTTTTTCCTTTTGTTACACATTATTCTTTGTTTTTTGGGCATTATATTGTGTTGGTGACAATCAGATGGGCACTTATAACATAAAAATGTCTTGAATATAACTGAGTTCATATCCAGTTTCATGAGAACTGAAATTTTATTCCACTTATTTCCACATGTATTATTAATGTTATTTAGTGTCATTTATTATATTCTCAGTAATGAAGCACTAACGGTACATTGAAGTTGTCTCCATGGTGACCAAGGTTATATATGTTACTTAACGCTTTCAGAATGTTGTAAATGACTATATGTACATTAGTTATTTATTTTCTTAAAAACATGTAGTAGTTTATAATATTGTATTGTAGCATCCTGTAGCACATCACTTATTTATTTCTTGCTAGTTATTAGCCGTTTACATGCAACTTGCTTTAAACTTTAAAATCTCTTCTACATCACTGATTTATGCAAACTACATATTTTGATCAACATTGGTCATATCTATGTGTCTCTAAAATTGTTGATGAAACTGCTGTGCTTCCAACTATAATTTCATTTCTTTGGGTCATGTGAGATGGGTAATAACTAGCAAGGAATAAGTATGGTAATTTTGCAGTTTGTTACTTTTATTGTGTAAATCTGCCTTAAGGAAACAGCTCGTTGAGGTTGTGTGGCAATAAGCTTCTTTTCTTGTCCACTGTTATGTAAAAGTAGAAGATTGCTTCATGTTCCAGAGGAAGTCTAGGTCAGCCACTTTAATTTATTTATAATGTTTTATGCATTGGAATTGATCTGTTGACAGTGAAAACAATTATGTAAAGGTTTATGAAGGAAATATTATAACTGGTATATTTTGAAACATTGTAGGGATTCAGCATATCTTGAAAATGAATATGCATGATTACAGGCATCAGTACCAATGGCTCTATGACCCAATAATGTCTACTGTATGTAAGTCTAGAATATTATTTAAATTTTCATAATTCTTACAGTTATATGTACGATTTTAATCTACAACCTAATTTTGTGCTGCAGTATGCTAGACTGTGACCAAATAAATGCATTCCATGCCTGTTTATGTTGCATATATTATTATTCCCACATTCTATACTAATCAAAGTGCTGGGAGAAAAAACTGACTTCAGAAGATATCATGGCCATGTAAGTGGTTGGGAATGCATCTTGACCTTGAAGGGGAAGAAAAAAGTTTAGCAAAGATAGAAGGAAACCATGTTGGGTGGGTCCCTGTCACCACGGCATGGCACGTCTTCAGGTTGTGGATGGAGGAAACGCCCTCCAGTTTTGGAGGGAAGCTGCAAATATATTGAATAAGCAGTCGCAGACAGCCGACGAGGGGTGGCCCTCCAGCTTGGGGGTTGGGCATGGGGCTAACAACTCCTCACCGTAAAAAATCATTGTGTTACGAAAATGAACACAAAGCCTCGGACCTGGACAGATTCCTTGGATAAACGACCTAAGCTAATGAAAATGGATATGAGATTTGGCATTTGGAATGTTCGAAGTTTGTATAGGGCAGCTCAGGGCAGTGGCAGAAGAAAACTTAAAATATATGTTAGATTTAGTGGGAGTACAGTAGGTCAGATGGGATGGAGGTGGCATCACACCAGCAGGAGACTATACATTTTTCTATGGAAAGGGAAATGAAAATCATGAATTAGGTACAAGTTTTTTCATACATAAGAGAATCGTATAAACAGTTAAGAGGGTAAGATTCGTTAGTGATAGGATATCAGATATAATACTAAAAGGTCGCTGGTGTGATATCATTATTGTGAATGTTTACACCCCAACAGAAGATAAAATTGATGACATAGAGGATAGATTCTATGAAGAACTAGAACATGTATTTGATAAATTCCCAAAGTACGCTATGAAAATTTTGTTAGGAGATTTCAATGCCTAAGTATGGAAGGAAGACATTTTCAAACCAACAATTGGGAATGAGAGTTTGCATGAAATTAGTAATGATAATGGAGTTGGAGTTGTAAACTTTGCCACATCAAAAAATCTTACTGTCAAAAGTACAATGTTCCCACATTGTAACATCCATAATTTACTTGGACATCTCCTGATGGGAAGATACACAATCAAATAGACCATATTTTGATAGATAGGAGACGGCATTCAAGTGTACTTTATGGCCAATCATTCATGGCAGCAGATTGTGATACTGGCGACTACCTGGTGGTGGCAAAGGTTAGGAAAAGACTGGCAGTGAGCAAACAAACAACGCATAGAGTTCATATAGAGAGGTTCAGTCTCAAATTAAATGAGGTAGAGGGCAAAGAGCAGTATCATGTGAAAATCTCAAATAGGTTCGCGGCTTTGGAAAACTTGAACACTGAGGTGGACGTTAATAAAGCTTGGGAAACTATTAGAATATAAAAATGTCTGTCAAAGAGAAGTAGGTTATTATGAACTGAACAAGCATAAGCCATGGTTCGACGAAGGATGCTCAAAATTATTTGATCAAAGAAAACAGGCCAAATTGCAATGGTTACAGGATCCAAGCGAGTTAAATGGGGATAATCTGAACAATATAAGACGTGAAACCAGCAGGCGTTTCAGGAACAAAAAGACGGAATATCTGAAAGACAAAATTGATGAGCTTGCAATGAACAGTAAGAACAAGAACATTACAGACCTGTATAGAGGAATAAATGACTTTAAGAGGGGTTACCAGCCTAGCAGTAACTTTGTGAAGGATGAGAATGGTGATCTGCTTGCAGATTCCCACAACATTTTGAATAAGTGGAAGAACTACTTCTCTTAGTTATTGAATGTACATAGGGTCAGTGCTGTTAGGCAGACAAATCCATTCAGCTGAGCCGTTAATACCTGACCCTACCCCTTTTGAGGTTGAAAGTGCTATTGAAAAATTGAAACACTATAAATCGCCAGGTAGTGATCAAATTCCAGCAGAACTTATTGAAGCTGGAGGCAGAATATTACATTCTAAGATCCACAACTAATTACTTCTATTTGGCATAAGGAAAAACTGCCTGATCAGTGGAAGGAGTCTATTATTCTGCCAGTTCACAAGAAGGGTGATAAAACTGACTGCAGTAATTATCGGGGGATATCACTGCTATCAACTTCATATAAAATTTTGTCCAATATTCTTCTTTCAAGGTTAAGTCCATATATAGATGAAATTATTGGGGATCATCAGTGTGGGTTTCGATGTAACAGATCAACTACAGATCAGATCTTTTGCATTCGTCAGACATTGGAGAAAATATGGGAGTACGATGAGACAGTACATCAGCTATTCATAGACTTCAAGAAAGCCTATGATTCATCTAGGAGGGAAGTATTGTACACTATTCTAATAGAGTTTGGGATACCCATGAAACTAGTTAGGTTGATTAAAATGTGTTTAAACGAAATGTATAGTGAAGTCCATGTAGGTAAATATTTGTCTGATAAATTTCCTGTTCAGAATTGTCTAAAATAAGGAGATGCTTTATCTCCAATCCTTTTCAACTTTGCCTTAGAATATGCAATTAGGAAGGTCCAGGGAAACCAGGTGGGTCTGAAATTAAACGGGACACATCAGCTGTTGGTCTACGCCAGTGATGTGAATTGATATGGTTGATAATGTAGATACCATAAAGAAAAACACAAACTTTAATTGACGCAAGAAAAGAGGTTGGTCTAGAAGTAAACACAGAGAAAACTAAGTATATGTTACTGTTTCATCACCAAAATGCAGGTCAAAATCATGACATAAAGATAGGAAACATGTTTTGAAAATGTGGCACAGTTCAGATATTTTGGAACAATGATAACAGATCCAAACCTGATTCAGGAGGAAATTAAGAGGCGATTGAACTTGGGTAATGCTTGCTACCATTCAGTCCAGAACCTTTTGTCTTCTCGTCTGTTGTCCAAAAACATAAAAATTAGAACATACAAAACTATAATTTTGCCTGTGGTTCTGTATGGGTGTGAAACTTGGTCTCTGACATTAAGGGAGGAACATAGACTGAGGGTGTTTGAGAACAGGGTGCTGAGGAGAATATTTGGACCGAAGAGAGATGAAGTGACAGGAGGTTGGGGAAGACTACATAATGAGGGGCTTCATAACTTGTACTCTTCTCCAAGTATAATTAGAATGATTTCACAATATTAAGTGCCCACATTTTTCTTACAGCACCTAGAAATAAAAATACTCTCATCAGCTGATTATCATACCCAGTTCACAGCATCACTATAGATGGTGAAGTCCACATTATATAAACACAGTTGCCATCTGGACTTAAGGAGGATATACAGTCCCTGATGTGATTTCTTTGCTGTTGAAGAGAGATTAAGAGAGCACTTTAGTAACAAGATATAATTTATTGTGGTAAACACTGCAAAATAAGTTGTGCTATTGCAACAGCCAAAAGGAAATTATGTACATATTTTACACTCAATTTTTGTGCTCATGATGATTCTTTGAGTACATTGGAAAGGAAAAGTGATAAAAGTGTAATACTTGTGTAGTCTTTAGTTGATCATTGATCTTAATTTCTCACATCTTTTTTGACATGGTCTTGACAGTGAAAATGCAGTGCTTTGGTTTGATTATTGTAATTTTACATATGAACATAGCTCAAGCTTTGACTGGGGAATGGGATGATAAAATTGCTGTGTTGTATCCATCTCTTCCAATAGCTGCTCCATGGTCCAAAAATGAACATTGCAGGAATCACAGCCGTATTTTGTTGCAGGCATTAAATAATTTTACCTTGTGGGCTGTTCAGAGTAAGTATCCTTATTATACAACAAACAAGTTGTGCCCTATGATCTAATAGTATGAAAATTAATTGCATGATTCTACTGTGATCTTCAGAGAAGATGTGGAGTAACAGGTTCCTCTAAAATGTTANGAAAATTAATTGCATGATTCTACTGTGATCTTCAGAGAAGATGTGGTTCCTCTAAAATGTTGGAAACCACGTATATGATTACACAGTGTTGCAGTCTAAAAGACTACAGTCAGAACTTTCAATGTCTTGAAAACTTCAGATCTCACATACTCATAAGTTACAAATGTTTGTTATATATACATGTCACCTAATGGTAGGTGCTGAATTGTAGGAGGTTACAGTGGGCTGGATGTGTGAGAGGTGAGGAATGTGCACATAATTTTGGTGTGGAAACCTTCTGAGGAACATCCACTTAAGGACTGAAAACGAGATGAAAAGTTTGCATTAACATCGATCTTTGGGAGCCAGGTTGTAAGTATTAAAGGTGGATGGACTTGGCTCAGAATTCTGTGTAATGGCGAGTTCTGCCGATAGCAATGTTCAACCTTCAGATTCTGGTACCTTAATAGTAGATGCATTTAATTGCAGTAAAGTCTGGAATGACCTCAGCAGCTTAATTGTGTGTTACTATTGTCATTAAATACTCTAAAACCTTCTGTTCCTCAATTGTGAACATATATTTCCCCATAATGTGTAGTACAGGGTGCATTTGATCCAAGAGGATAGGACTCTTTGCTGCTTATTTGTCCTTGTGTAAGCACAGAGACCCACAAAGGAGCCAGATGAAATGTTAATTCATACATCCATTGTATGTCACTGGTAGCTAATCCTTCTGTAGCTACAAATGAGACATGTTGTTTGGAAACTTTCTCACCACATTATTTTTGGTGTTTAACAATATCTGTAAAAAGAAACCACGCCATATCATCTCCAAACTATTCAAACTAATTATTTCTATCCTGGCACTCATTGATTTCAGTATATAAAGGGCTAATAAAAGATAAGGATGATACAAAACTGGAATGAAATTAAATTATATCATTTATAAAGTCTCAAAATTACCACATTAGACCCCTGAAGATGATAGCAAGAACAGTAATTGGTGAGCTATGAAAGCTGTGGTGAGACTCTTACATTTGAAAATGAAACTCAACAATTATAAAATCATTATCTTTGAAATTAACACACTAAACATTGCATTCAAGTGTTCAACACCCCTTTGGATTCAGGAGGTTCTATGCTCAAATCTTGGCTTATGAACCAGCTATGCTGACCAAGGGTTTTCTCAGGCCTTACAGGCAAATGCCAGGATAGTATCTTAAATCAGGCTACAACTGTTTCCTTCCACATCCTTTACAGTTCATTATCCACTAATCATCCTATCATTTGATGCTATTATCTTAGCAGTTGAGAGTATCGTTAAATAAGCTAAGAATATTGATTACATCGAAAGGTTTGGGACAATGGTACATTAATACAAATATTATGATTCTGGATATTATCCATCATCTTGTTTTAAATAAAAACAGAATGGTTGAAATTAACTGACAAGCATCTGTGTAGACTTGAGGTACCTTACACAATATTTCTTGACTTTATGATGGCGTGAGATTTGGGTGTCAATCTGCATAAATATTAACTCAAGATATGTAAAATACCATATAAATTTGTCATAATTTACAATATTACTTCTTGCATCACATTGTTAGTGAAACGAAACATTTGTTGATTCAGTGCTGGATGCTTCTGCAAGGCAGCCAGGAGGAGTTCTGTTTGGCAATATATACCAATTGGGAAACTTCAATGAGTGTTTGGATGTGGATGGTCCAATCCAGAGTCAGTACTGCCTGACCAAAGTGACTGTGACTGTCTCTCATACTGGAACAAATTTTGATCCATACATACAGAAGTATGATCCAGAGTCATCAGTTTGGGACAAGATAAAGGTAACATATGCATGAACTATGCAGTTGGTATGTGCAAAATTAAAAAAAAAAGCCATACTCAATTAAATTGCAAAAGTAAAGGTAAAGTTATCTTTTGCTTCATTAATTAAACACCATACCATGAATATGTATGGTGAAGTGAAGGTACAGTGCCATCATCCTTAATCTTGGAAGTAAATAAACATGAGTGGTCCATGCCCCTGCTGTCTTACTTCAGGAAAACAGACCTTGGTACCTGTTGTGTAGGAGGGTAGGTGGGCACCAGAGTCTGGAGGCTATGTAGAAGAAAAAATTTCTTGTCTGTGCCAGAAATCACCTTAATTCCTCAGTCTTTCGATCGGTAGCTTAGTTGATATACCATCTGCGATATTCCAGATCCAGCTGAACTTCATTTGTCTTAAATTTATCTTCTGGTTTGAACCAACTCATACTCTATATTTGTTCTCTCCACTAAGCTGTATAAAGCATATGCTTGCTCTATAATCTGAATCAGGCTTGTTTGACATTACCACTAAACACGTACACTGATAGCCATTTTTTTTTCAAAAACAGCTGATTACTCAAAGAAATATATATCATATAATACATATGTTTATGTCACTGAGTTACACAAAATAATTTCAGAAATCAGTGGTACAGCTATAAAAATCTTCTTCCTCTGGTTTTATAGCCCTTTTAGTTTAGCCTTAACCTCCCATAAAATTACCATCCATTCTTTTCTGTCTTCAGCTTTATGTCAGTCTCTACATCATCTAACCATCTCACCTTGGACCTTGCAACTCCACATCTGCCTTCCAGTTTAGTGTTGAGCACCGTTTTTTGTGTATAAGTGTCTTCCATTCTGGTGATGTGCCCCAGACATTCCAGTCTTCTAATTTTGATTTCAGTCACAATATATGGTGACCTACATGCAGTTTGTAGTTCCAAATTGCTTCTTGTTCTCCACACTCCATGTTTACATTTTGGTCCATAAATTTTCCTTAAAATGTTTATTTCTCAGGTCATCAAAGTGGTTGCAATTTTCCCTTGACTGTCCAAGTTAGCAATAAATATCATATCCATATATAAAATACTAAGGCTTTGTATGAGGGTAAAAGAGCATGGGAACAAATTGCCTGTGTTTTAATCAAGCACCAGGCCATGAAGAGATACTGGGGATTGGAGGTATAGCTCATAAACTCAGCAGTAGATGAAGGTGAATGGTCAGCTTCATGCTTTAGCCTCTCAACCCATGGGGTAAGAACTCCAGATACCCATTGATTAAGGATGGCCCCAGAGTCAGTCTGGACATAATGATAAAGAGGGAAATCTCTGCCTCTGGTGTTAATCAGACCTTAGTTCCCTTGTCATCCAGCTTGTTGCATAGTCACTATACTGACTGACCAACACTATTCTGTCATTATGCACGTTTCTTAGCAATATTTTGTGTTCTTACAAATGGAACTAGAAGACAGGAACAATAAACCAATGCATCAGTGGACACTGCAGTCTTATCCTTTGCTGGAAAACATACTTCTAGATAACATCATCACCTATTGTATCAAGTTCTTTCCAGAACTTTTCTAGCTCATAGCATGCATATTTAGTGAAACCATGATTTCAGAATATCCCTCAATGACTGTATGTATAGGAGTGGGTCAATGGAATGGTTATTTGTGGATACTGTAGCTCGAGAAAGGAACTGCCAAATTTTCGCATTGAAATTTGAATAGGCTTTATGTTAGTCAACTAGTGATCAGCATTGAAGGGACTGAGACATATCACTTGTTAACTAAAGGCAGTCCAAATTGATGGAAGTTTTGATTAGAGAGAGTAGAAAAAAAATACAGAATGCTATATACTGGTAATTATGGCTTGTTTCAGAATGCTGGTAACCCAAGCAGAGTGTCTCGCAGTAGTGTGTACCAGGCTCTGTGTGTACCAGCATCATGTTCACATAAGGATATTGAAATAGCTATCTCACAGTACCTACAGAAATACAAGCACCCAGCTGGAGTGCATTACACTGCTGCTGTAGCACCAAACCTCTGTCACACTTCCCAGCAGGAGACTTTCTTATCTGAGGATTATATTTTCATGTTGGTACAATTCATAGTACTTTATGTAGGGATTAATATGTGCCCTGTCTGCTTTAACTTCAGAAACCCCACATTTTGCCCCATAATGCATTTATATGTTTTGTATGATGCTCAGAATTTCCCTAATCAGCATTAAATGATCACTTAGTGGGGGGTGGCGTCCAGCTGGGTCCACTTGGCATGGCTGCCACTGACTGGCCTATTGTACCTGCCCCAGGTGATTATGATGATAGGGAATTTGGTGGAATGAAGATCGGCAGGGGAACTGAAGTCCTTGGAGAAAACCTGCCCCAGCGCCACTTTGTCCACCACAAATCCCACTTGACCAGACCCGGGATCGAACCCGGGCCGCCACAGTGAGAAGCCAGCAACTTTAGCTATGGCATGGCCATTATTGAAGGCTTAGTATGTTTTCTATAAAGTAGGAACTGAACTGAATTTTTAAATATCATTTAGATGAATGTTGGACTTCAAATAGTTTATTCAGTATTCATGAGTTCTATTTGACATGCATATTAAATTGTACACGTATTACATTAGGTTCTTATCTTAAATAGAAATTAAGTTGATGAGGAGTACAGCAGGTTACATACGCCATTTCTGGTCAAAAAAATGTGAAGTAACTCCATGGAGCTGTGTCCTTGAGAATTTAATGATCATTCAGCTAGTTAAGAAATTGCCTCCTGCTATGGAGCTGGGTGCTCATTACCATGTCCACAAGAGCCTGCCACTGGATCCTGCCCTGAGCTGGTTGAACCAGCTCATATGTTAATGCTCTGTTTCTTTATGATTTATTTTATTACTATTATTCCCATCTGCAGTTTGACCTTCAAGTGATCTTGTTCCTTCATGTTTTCCAACCAATTTCATTCTCCTTGCAGATAAATCTGATTGGTAAAGAATACAAATTACGAAGGTCTTCGTTCTATAATTTTCTCCATACTGTTAATTCGTATCTCTTGGATCCACATGTTCTCCTCATAGCCACTTTCTCAGACGTCTCCTATGTTCTTCCCTCAGACTGAGAAACCAATTTTCACACCCCTATAAAACAACCAAAAAAGAGAATAACAGGCTTTATAAAATCAGATTTTTGTCCCATAGAGGGGGTTTGAAAGAGTATCTTATTGGCCTATAGCTGTACCACTTTTTCCATGCTCAGCTTACACTTTGACACTGATGATGTAGGCAGTATGTTACTCTGATAATACCGGTAAACTTCTACCAGAAAACATGACATCACATTTTAGAAAATAATATTCCTTTAAAAAACTTTGCCATTGTAAGCTCTGACAGGATTTCTCCTAGTTAATATGAGTATGACTGAAAAGGGTGTATTCCATAATGTAGTACACAAAATTCTCAACAGCGTTCTTTGCAGTTCATGGACTTGTAGCCAGGTTCTGAGACTTGAAAACGTCCATTTGTGACCTTAAGTAAAGTGAACTGTATTGTCAGTATGACTAAATGTTGGAATTTCTGACAGACTTTGGCGGAAGTCTTCCATACAAAGTTCTGAATTAATTTGTCCAATGATTGAGATTCTGATACTAGGCCACAGATATGTAGATGGTGAGACATGACATCCATGTAAGATGTTCTTTTTTACTGTATAAGAAATGCTTAATAATTGTAAATTGCNTGATGCTCAGAATTTCCCTAATCAGCATTAAATGATCACTTAGTGGGGGGTGGCGTCCAGCTGGGTCCACTTGGCATGGCTNGAAAAAAAAACAGTTCTATTAATAGCTCGTCTAGTTGAGCAGAAGTAAAATTTGGTGTACCCCAGGGTTCAATTCTTGGCCCACTTATTTTCCTCTTGTATATAAATGATATAACTAAGGTTGCAATTAATGGAACAAACATATTCTTATATGCAGACGATACAAGCATAATAGTGACTAATCCGGAATACACCGACTACAAATCAACCACGACCAGACTATTTTGCAATATTAATACATGGTTCAGAACCAATCTGTTAAAATTAAATATTCATAAAACCCACACTCTCCAGTTCACTTTAATGAACTATGAGGATCATACTTGTAGTATACATAATAATAATGATCAAAATTTACCGACTAACTTAGACTGTATCAAATTTGTAGGCTTAAATATTGCTAATAGGCTGTGTTGGAAGAATCATATTGATTACCTTGTTACTAAATTGAGTTCATCTTGCTTCATTATGAGAACAGTTAAGCCCATGATATCATTAAGTAGCTTAAGAATGATTTATATTGCTTATATACATTCTATGATGACATATGGAATTATCTTCTGGGGCAATTCTTCATACATGACAAAACTCTTTATGATCCAAAAGAAAGTTATAAGGATTATGATGGGATTAAAGAAAAGAGATTCATGTAAAGACTCTTTCAAGGAAATGAAA